GTGTTGCAGTGTTGGGCGGTATCAATATGAACTCGTGGTTTTTAATACATAAATAGATATATATATAAATACCGATACAGGATATATAAAAGTTATATAAGTATATGCCTATACATGTGTGTCTCTGATGAATATCTATGTGTGTATCTTCATGTGCATGTACAATATGTATACATACACATATATGTATGTGTATATACATAGACAGAAGTATATGTGTGTGTATGTGTATCTATATATATATGTACTTTGAGTATATGTATTATTTAGGTCTGACTGCTGAAAAGGTCTAGAAGAAATAACACCCCAGTAGCAATAAGCATATCCAGCACCCAGACCTTAGTTTCCAAATACCATTCTCTACTAAAAGAAATCAGAAGGAAACAGCCAATTTCAAGGCCAGGGCAAGGAAAGCAACAGATGAGCCTGTATAGTGGGTTGAATTGTGTCCCCCAAAGGGATATGTTCAAGTCCTAATGCAAGGAACCTGTGAATGAGACCTTACTTAGAAATAAGGTCTTTGCAGATGTAAGTTCAAATGAAGTTATACTAGATTAGGTGGGCCAATAAATCCAATGACCGGTGTCTTTACAAAAGAAAGGAGAGGGAGGTTTGGATACAGAGACATAGGGAAGAAGGCCACATGAAGACAGAAACAGAGACTGGAAGTAGGCTGCCACAAACTAAGGAAGGCCTGGGGCCATCAGAAGCTGGAATAGGCAAGGAAAGATTCTTCCCTACAACCTTCAAAGGGAGCATGGCTCTGCTAACACCTTCTTTTAGACTTCTAGCCTGCAGAACTGTAAGAAAATAAATTTCTGTTGTTTTAAGCCACAAAGTACTAGTTTGTAATACATTGTCACAGCAGCCCTAGGAAATTAATACAGCTTTGAACATCTTGTGCCAGAAAGTAAGAAAATGCTCAAAGAAAGACGGGGAAATAGCGAAAGGACACAGAGGATCCCAGCAGCCAAATAAATAATGATTTTAATAGATTATATTCCATTGAGTAAAATATAAATCTATGTGTCTATACTCATAAATACATGAATGTTGGGAGAGGCAGTCCTCCATGGTCCCTGAGTGTCCCTACACATTTTTGTTCAGAATACCAGGCCCTGACCACTGTTAACCTGGCCATTTCTCAGGATTATATGTGCAACAAGCCACCCTCAAGGGTGAGGTAACATCTCTTCAACCCTTGACAGAGCAGGCTTGCTTCCATCTACTATATAAGCAGTGAATCCCCATAGCTCAGTGCTCCTTCCCTATGACACAACCCACAGCATATTGCAAGAATCCTACTAGGCCCACCTGCGTCATCCCTGTGGGACTTAGGGGACACAAGAAATCAATGCAAACCAAATGAAGCTCATGCAGTTTGCCATGCCATGAATAATAAAGTCCTTTGGCTCCAACTCAGGAGTTTTGTGCCTTCTGCCAGCACCTAAGAAACAGTTACAGGCTAATTTATTAGCTTGCAGGTAGGTTAAAATCTCAGACCATTCATTTCTTGACAATGAATAAACATTTTTTTTTAAATGGGGGGAAAAGGGAAAGCCCATCCTTACAGTGGAATGCTAAATAATAAATGTAGAAGAAATGATGGACTTAGAAAATCATTAACAAATGTTAAAACTAGTGGTGAAATCTAATTATGAAAAGGATATTTACATAGTCTCAAAGAGTCTAGCCACAGATCACTCATTAACTACAAAGGTAAAAAACAGAAACTTTACAGGAGGGAAATCTGGCAGACACTACCTTAACCAAGTGATCAAAATTAACATCACCACTACTGGGAAAAACAGATATCATGTATCGCCTAGCATAACTGCACTGAGAAGCATACAATTCTGTGGTATTCCCCCTAAAATTGTATAATATGAATCTAATTATAAGGAAACATCAGACAAACCCAAAAAGAAAGACATTCTATAAAACAACTGGTCTATATTCCTCAAAAATATCATGGGCAAGAAAGACAAAGAAAGGCTGAGAAACCGTTCCAAATTGAAGGAGACTAAAGAGACATGACAGTTAAATACAATACATGATCCTAGGTTAGATCATGGATCAGAATTTTAAGAAATAACTGTGAAGGACATTATTAAGATAAATAATAAATTTGAATAAGAACTGTAGATTTGACAATAATACTAAACCAATGTTAAAATTCCTGATTTTTATAATTATGGTATAGTTATAAAAGAGAAGGTCCTTGTTCTTAGGAAATACTTAAATATTTAATGGTAAAGGGACATGATGTCTCCAACTTATCTAAAATTGTTTTAGAAAAAACTTATTTGTACATATGTGCATGTTATATACATGTGTGTGTAAAGAGAGAGAATAAAGCAAACATAACAATTGCTGAATCTGGATAAAGGCCATTCAGAAGTTCCTTGTACTATCCTTGAACTTTTAAAAAATTATATCAAAATAAAAACTTACCCTCCTCCCCCAAAAAAACAAATAAAAAAGGCACAAGAATTGCTTTGATTATATTAGACACTGAACAAAACATTCTTGAGATAAAATGAAACATAACAAAACACACAGATAGTCAAAGGGTTGCATTTTAATGCATTGTTCATTTTAATACTTCAAGGTATCACACAGCTTTAACAAAAATAGGAACTACCTTTAGTTGAATTTTTTATGCACATACATACACATTATACACATATTTCAAGTGTCAGCTCTAGAAAAGATGGCAGAGTTGTTAAGAATGGGGATCTGCGGGCCGGCCCCGTGGTGCACTCGGGAGAGTGCAGCGCTGGGAGCGCAGCGATGCTCCCACTGCAGGTTTGGATCCTATATAGGAATGGCTGGTGCGCTCACTGGCTGAGCGCGGGGTGGGCGACACCCCACCAAGGGGTGCGATCCCCTTACCGGTCATGAAAAAGACAAGAAAAAAAAAAAAAAGAATGGGGATCTGGAGTCATATAAACACAGGATCAAATCCCAGTACCATCACTTGTTAGCTGGTTAATTTTAGGCACGTTACTAACCCTCTTGGTGCCTGAATTCCCTTATTTTTAAATGCAGAAAATAATGGTTTCTAATCCATAGGTTTTTGTAAAGATGTCAAAGGACAACACATGTAAAGAACTTCGCACATTCAGAATGAATTTTTTTTCATTTTTATTAGAAGCAAATATCAAAAGAAAATTATTCTTTAACCTAAAAGATAATGAATATCTAATCTCTCCTGAGATTGAGGTTATGATCTGTCTTTTACCAGTCTAAAAGCAAAAGGAAAAAAAAAAGCTATGGGACCAGTTCAGAGTGTTTAAACTAAAAATTAAAGTAAATGAAACATGAAATCCATCTTTACAACTAGATTCCAACATTAAAATACTTTTAGAGTAATGTATTAAAGAAGGTATTATATATTCTTTTAATTTATTATTTAATGTATTAGATAATTCATTAAAGAATGTAAAAATACTTTTGGTTCTGCTTGTTTATTCAGTAGGTGGGATTTAAATATTTTTCAAAAGTATCTTTAACACTTGTTTGAATTTCCGTAAGGAAGAACTACCTAACCATATGGAATCTGCAAGCACTTGTAAGAGTCATAGTTAATGGAATTTTACAGAGTAATTAAGGTATAGAAGGTAAGAAACCATAAATTCTGTCATTTATCAGAATTTATAAACTTAAATGCCTTCATAGGCCAGGCACCAGAAATAGCTAAGTATAAATAAATAGGGAATAATTGAGACTACAGTGACTGGACCTTTCTGAAAAGAACTCTACCTAAAGGCATTCACATACAAGTTTTGTTTTTTTTTTTTAAACATTGTGCCACATTTGTGCAGGCTGAGTTCAGCTCAGAAGGCACCTGTTTTGATCACTGACTTTCAAATTTTAAGCCCTTAGGACCTTTATAGTATATACTTGTATGCATACTTGGTGTTCTGTAAAAGATAATAATAAAATTGAGAATTTCTGAGAATGAATACTCATGCACATCAAAACCATTAGAAAATTTTTCAGTGACTTCCAAAAGGCAGTCATATTATTAGAGATATCCTAAGTTGGTTATCTCTCCCCATCTGCACTCTTAATTAAGACATATTTTATATGGCATAATACGTACTCTCTTAAGGTTCCTAACTTCTCTGAAATTTTAGGATTCCATGTTTGATGGGACAAAATTCCTTCATACTGGTTACAACTATGTACCTATGAAATAATTTATTACAAAAACATTGAAAATTGCTGAATTCATTTACCACTAAAATGCCTGGACTAAATATTTTGACTAGGAAAAAAATTTCAATTTGCATTTCTGAAATGAAACAATACAGTCTCTATCCCACTGAAATACCCATTAACCATGTTTTTAAAAATACTTTTAAATAAAATAGCCACCCAACCTTTATTAAATTCTTCCTAGATTTTCTCCAATAAGTATACTAGAAAAACAGGGTATATTTAAGTGAGTAATATCCAATGCCTCTAAGTCCAAAGTAATCTCTTGTTCCTTCGAATTCCCTAGCATTTGCATTACTATCTTTTTATATTAAATATATCATATTTTTGATATGTCTTATCTTCTCTATCATACTTTAAACCATATAATGGCATAAATCACGGCTTATTCATCTTTTATCCCTATCAACATGCATTTTTGTACTTGCACAGAAGGTGTGCAGAAAAAAAATTCAAGAGAAACTTTCCATTCCCAAAATAACAACGACAATCTCAAGTTAAACTCTTTCCAATTCTGAAATGAACTGAATTCGTTCATGATTGAAATTATTATGCTTTTAAAAATTCTCTGCAATTCAGAGAAGTTCTCAGCATCAATAGCCGGTTATGTTGCTATGTAAGCAACAATATTCTTTGATAAATACTGAGATAAGTTTGTAATCTTTTGAGAAAGTAAAACTTTAAGCATGTTACTTAAGCCTAAGCATACTTTTAAACATTTATTTGGGAGAAAGATAAGTTTTTGTAAAGTATTATTTACAATCATTAGGTCTTACCTGAGGATTCCAACCTGGATCTAATTTTTTAACTACTGCGATATATTCCTGCATTGCTTGGCTGGGGCTTAAGTCACCAAGTGCTTTCCATGCTTCCCTATAGTACAGAATATCCAAAATGACCTGTTATTAACTAGGCAAGTAGCACAAGCAGCTTATTTCTTTTTATTATTAAAATTTTTTCAAACACATTTCAAGGGTCTGGGGATATAGAAATGATAAGTTATGCACAGAGGAGGAGCTCTCTCTTTTTGTATTTACATTGGTCTACAGCAGTACAGACCTTGTAGACCCACCTAAGAAGCCTTTTTAGATGTCTTTTTCCTAATCGTCCTCCCCCATGAAATTTTAATAACACAGATATACTGCATATCTGTTCAATTTTAAAAGACCACAAACCACTGTAATCTAAGATTTTATCACTCCCCAAAGCCCAATTTTAACCCCTGTTGAGAATGTATGGTCTACAGACCAATAGAGATAGTTCCCATCCTATGAATTAACTGTGCTTACGGCAATTCAGTAGTATGGAAACTAATTATCACACAAAAAACAATATTCCCTGGGAAAATTCATCAAACTTCTTACTTAAGATGCAAGAAATCCACCTTCCCCTTTTGCTGTTATCTCGTCTATAAGCTTCTAGTAGCCGATCCTGAAGCCTTGGTCGGGGACTTCAAAAGTGAGGGGTGGTAAGGGCAGGAAAAAGAATACTAATGAGTAAGAAGGTAGGGGCTTCCTACAGTATAAATACCAAGAGTAACATTTTAGTTCTGAGCCCCTTTTGGGTCATCCCTTTCTTTTTTTCTGTAGGCTGCCAGGACAGGCATCCTTCTTGGTTTTTCCCGGCCAATTCTTTCTACTTCCAATCAGGGTTTCTGTATTTCCCTAATCCACTGTAAAACATAACTCAGTCCCAGTTTTTTTTACTACTTTTCTGCTCCTATGATGAATATACCATCTTTCTGAGGTTTTCTAAATTTATTTTTACTGAATATCTTGAGAATTAGTTGTACACATTGTAACACTTCACCCCTAAATATATTAGCTTATATCAAACTTAGAAAATGTATCATCAATACTATTATATAATATAGAGACCATATATTCAGATTTCCCTGATTATCCCAACAATGTCCTTTATGGCTTTCTTCTCCCAGACCAGGAGCAAATCAAGATTCACACATAGCATTGTTTCACATATCTCTAGCTTTTTTGTCTTCTATGATATTCACATTTTTAAGAGTCCAAACCAATTGTTTTATAAAATATCCTTCAATTTGGATTTGTCTGATTGTTTCCTCACCTACACAGTGTTCTTGCCAAAAATGATTAATCATGATCAGAATTAAGTTAACCATTTCAGCAAGAGCAACATATAGGTAACATGTCCTTTATAATGCATCACACTGGGGGCACATGATATTAGTTTGTGCCATCACCAATAATATTGATGACTTGGTAAAGGCAGTACCTGCCAGTTATCTCCTTTTATAATTAATAAATAAACTGTTGGTCAGTCTATGTAAATATTGTTCCCCAATAATTTTTCATCTGATGTGTTAGCATTCATTGATGATTCTTACCTGAATTAATTATTATTTCTGTGGCTGGAAAATCTGAACTTTTTTAATTGCTTTAAAAAATGCAGAAATAGGCATAGGGAAAAAATAACAATGAAGCTAAAAATTTCATAAATTAACCCAAAAAACTCACAATAAAAGTTACATCAGGTATTCTCTTGTACAATAATAAAATGTCAGTTAGAGAACTATTTATCATCAACAAAGAAAACTTGTGCCAGAATGTAAATCAAAGTGCTGCTTCTGTCACTAAAAATGTTCTATACAACAAAATTTCCTTACAGTTGGGAAACAAACATTTGGTAGTCAGGCAACTTGTCCAGGGGACCACATTTTGCATAGGACTGCTCTAGAATGTGAAGAATCCATCCTTTAGCACTTCCTCTCCCTACAACCATATTTCACCTTTTTTTTTTTAATCTCTATCCTCTATACTTCTCTTAATTCCAGGGCAGATGCTCCAAAATCTTCCATTCTGTAACTAAGATTCTCTATTGTATGAAATTTCTCTTTTTCTCCTTAGATAAAGTAAGAGAAAACAAGGTCTCATAAATGAAAAAAGGAAACCTCTCTGAATTATGAGTAAAAAATTTAGGAGAGTATAATTTTTTTATGTATTCAGAGAAGGAGTGGACTCAGCATCTGGTTTTGTTTATTTTTTTCCTTCTTCCCGAGAGGTTATTATAAGCACTTCTTCACTGTTGTGTGGATGGGGCAAGAAACAGAAGAGACAAGAACATAAAATTAGGGCAGGGGAAGAGAAGAGTAAAAAATGGGGATTTATACTGCTCGTCTCCTTTCCTATCCTCCTGGCCTTCTGAAGATCCCTCCAGAGGGGAGAAGTTGTGACCTATCAGGGGCTGTCTGGTTGGAAAGGAAAATCTCAAGCAGTAGTCTTATGGTTACTCTTATATATTCATACGTAAAAATTGAATGTCTGCTGTGAACTACTCATACACCAACATCATGGCTTAAGAATCCTTAAGGGGATTTAGCTAAAAGCAGGTTCTTTTAATCTCTCTCCCAATTGCCTGCACAGTCTACAGCAGAGAGATTAATATAAAAATAATTCTTTAATCTGCTCACTATTTTCAATCCTAAACTCTTAAACCATTTCCAAAAACCTCATTAAAGATTCCAAGAATTTCTTACCACTTTTGCTTTCCTTCAAAATCAAAGAAGCTTGGTTTAGGAGTATTGCAATTTCCAACTTTGACCTAAATGAGAAGGGAAAAAAATCAAGAACTTATTTTTCAAAGAAAGGTCTGAGAAACCTTTTCTTTTCATTATATATATTTAGTAACTATACATTAGAAAATATTTGCTTCTATATAGGATAACAAAATTTAACAATCTTTGCAAAAGAAAACAAACAAAACAGACTTTAAATACAGGCTGCTCTGGCTTACTGCATAAATGAACTGTTATTTAATACTGTAATACAGAAAAAAAATGGGTGATGAACAGTTGCTTTCCTAAGTTAGACTAATTATGTATGACATATTATTAATATAGATTATGTAATTTTTATCATTCGTAATATAATTTTTAACATGTAATTAACGAGCTTTAAAGTTTAATTTAAGCCCGTGGCTCACTCTGGAGAGTGCGGTGCTGATAAAGTTTAGTTTAGCAGAATTCATAATACTGTTTCTTCATATTGATTCTCATAATACTATTAGCATTTTATCTCTCCAAAATTCCAGAATAAATTGTACTATTTTAAAAGTACTCTATTATGAAACTCTTCAATATAAATTTAGATGCCAAAGCCATATAAAAAAAGTTCAGGGATTCTCAACAACTATATAAATTCTATCTATTCCACAATCATCTTCTCTGATTTGCAGTCAATATTTACTTTTCATCCTCAAATGACATGTGTAGTTCAAGTACAGAGTGATTATTTTCATTGTGAATAAGCATAAACGAAATTCACACAAGTACAGAATTAACTATAAAGCCCCTGATTCCCACTGCCAAAAGTGATCTCCCTTATGAACTCTTACGGCATTTACTCTATGTATCTCGTTTTTCACTTTTTCTACCTTGTGTGAAAAAGTTTTGTGTAAAGTCTCATCTATTAGAACAGAGCCTCTAAGAAACTGTTTTTAACTCACTCACAGCACCAATTTCCTTCTCAGAGACTTTCCCACTACCTGCTGTTACTCTTACATACTTGAATTTTGCCAAAATCAAACTGATGCCTTCACCTAACCAGATTAACCTACTCACTGTCTTAGGGATTTTTAGTTATGTGTTTTGCTCATGTTATTCCACTCACCTGAAATGCCTTCTCTTCCTTTAGCTTCCCTCCCTCAAAACGCTACATCTCCTTCCAGTCCCACTCAAAGTTCAGATTCTAAGAACCCTTTCAGTCTACAATGATCTCATACATCTCTTAATTCATAACAATTATCACTTCTTTCATTTGCTTAGCAATTAACCACATAGCCCTCTGGCTGTTATTAAAATGTATACCAATATAGGAGCAGCCCTAATATAATGGGATGGAAGGAAGAAAGGGTAAGAGAGAAGGAGCTGTTTTCCTTGAACAATCACCATCGACCAAATGCTTCACACAAATTACTCAAATGAGCTACACAATAATCCTGTGAGGTATACCATTAAAAATTCATTTTATAAATGAGGCTGAGAAGCTCGGCAGTGTTGTCTCAGTGTACACATTAGTAAATTCTGAATTAGTAGTCAGGATCTGAGTCCAGAACTGTTGACTCCAAAGTTCAATATTCCTTTACTACGCTATTCTGCCTTACGTGGTATCTAGTATCTGGGCTTCAGTTCTAGCATGTCTAAAATCACATGAACTACTGGATTGTTAGAAATATGAAATTAGATAAACTATACAAACTATGACATCATAAAAATAGCAGTCATTACTATTTTTGTTTTTTATCCAGATACCAGCCAGTGGCAGAAACAAATGCCAATACCTGTTCTCCATTTCTTCTATAGGAATAGAAGTCTCAGCTGGACACATGGCTATGCAGCTACACATTACATGAGGCCATGCAACTTCTGCCTGAGTTCTGGGGACTGATGTACGTGAAAGTGATTTTTAAAAAAAAAATCTTCCTTAAAAAGAAAAGGGGCTTGTCTTCTTTTCCTTTGCCCTGGCTAAAACATGCATGTGATGTTGGTGAGCCATCTCTGGCCATGATAGAGAAACTTGGGACTGCAGTTCTCAAAACTTTTTAATCTTATGATCACTTTACCCTCTTAGAAATTAAGGATCCCAGGCCCTGTGGCGCACTCAGGAGAGTGCAGCGCTTGGGTGCGCAGCGGCGCTCCTGCCGCGGGTTCAGATCCTATATAGGGATGGCCGGTGTGCTCACTGGCTGAGCACGGTGCAGGCGACACCAAGCCAAGGGGTTGCAATCCCCTTACCGGTCACAAAAAAAAAAAAAAGAAATTAAGGACCCCAAAGAGCTTTTATGTGGATTATATCTATCAATATGTGCCATATTAGAAATTAAAACTGAGACATTTAAAAAATATGTATTAATTTATTTAAAAATAATAAACACATTACATGTTAACATAAATAACAAAATTGTATTAAAAATAACTGAATATTCTTTTTTTTAATGTTCCTTTTTTTGGTGGCTGGGTGGTACGAAAAACAACTACATATTCTAAACAAAAAAAAATTTTGAGGAGAAAGGTGGCATTGTTTTACATTTCATGAATTTCTTCAATGTCTGGCTTAGTAGAAGGCAGTTGTATTCTTATATCTACTTCTGCATCCAATCTACTGTAATATGTTGCTTTGGTTGAAATATATGAAGAAAATTCAGCTTCACACAGATAGGTTGTTAGAAAAGACAGAAGTATTTTAGTAGGATTTTCAGATAATTCTGGATATTCTTCTTTAATACTATACCAAAACTCAACAAGTGGTAGTTTCTTTAAGGTTAGTTGCAATGAGGAATCTGAACTCATATCAATGAATTTTTCATACTGTTACACAGAAATTCTTTGGTCTGGCTTGCACTTTGAATCTTTTATCCACACATGATGGTGTAATATCACTCCCTGAAACATTTAGAAAATACAGTTCACTGAGTTATGTGGATTTTCCAAATGTTGACACATTTCATTATATAATAGTAAAAGTTCACATTCATTATTGTCACCACTTATCTCATCAAAAAAATTTTTTTAAGTACTGGGAAGCTGTCAAGCGTAGGGTGGCAGATACAGGTTTTCCAACTTCTAATCTTCACTTGAAGACTCAAATATTATTTGCAACAAATACTTTCAGTTGTTTTCCTTGAAGTAACTGGCTCACTTTGCTCATTTTCAAGAAATTATCTGCCAAATACTCAAATCTGAATAGCCACAGTTTGACTGTGAATTGTTCTGTTAAGTAAAAATGATGTTCCATGGAAAAAAGCAAATTAGTACAGTTTGCAACTCAGAAATTACACAAGTGCTTCTCCTCAAAATAGCTAACATAATTCAGTATACAGCAGAAGTGCTTTGTGTGTACTTCTCATTTCATCACATACAATATTAAAAAGACTTCTACTCAAGGGTTAATATTCAATAAAAATAAATAATTTTTCCTGCTTCATCAAAGACATTTTTAAGTGAAACTGGCAATTTTTATTCTTACTCTGAGTACAAGGTGGTAAAAAACTATGACTACTAATACAGTTTGCTGCTATTGCCTTGATTCATGCTATGGCATCAGCAGTTTTATCCACCATGACAGCACAGGAAAAAGGCAAATAGTGTCTCAGTATTATTATGAAAATAGTTCTGACCTTGTGGATCCCCTGAGAAAGTCTCAGGGACTCACAGGGGTCCATGAACCACAATTTGATAACTGCTTCCTTAGGGGATGGCTAAACTACGAAACAGAAAAAGCCTAGGCACCTGGCTGATTTCATGAAGCAGAGCCACACTACCAGCTCTAGAACACCTACCTCCAGATCGTTTTGTGAAATGAAAATAAAGGTTCAACAGCTGACCCTGTATTCTGATACAAAAGTGTTATAATTCCCCAAATCAAAAAGTTCTGGATTCAGAAAAGACTGGGAAAATAAAACTACAAGATTTTAGGACATCAGGAATAGCAGTTTCCAAATCATTAGGTAATGAAATATAAGCTATGAAGCAGAGGTATAAAATGTATACTTTAACAGAGCATCTAAACTCTGTTCTTTCTGATATATGTATGATATATCCAACACCCTTGAAACAGAGTATTACACCAAAGGTCCCAATAGTAGATGCCAGTGAACCAAGTGTGCCCAGGTTAAAGTAGGAGGACATGCTAAATATCCTCACTTGTGCTAGTGAAGGCTCCTTTAACAAAGCCAACAGGAATTTGAAATTTTCATTGCCCTACAGTTTTCACAGGTGTCAATTAGTTATCTTCTGTTGGGAGAGTATAGGCTAATGCACAGAGGGACCAAAAAATAGTTAATTGGTTTAATCTTTTTGAAACTTCGTTAAAAGATGATTTTGAAGCCATAGACTTACATAAGATTAAAAGAGCTATGAAACTAGGTAAGTTTAGAGCACTGCCTGAGAAAATAAGTTTCATATCTCAGCTTATTTTTATCATCTTCCTGCCAACAACCAAGTTTACCTCATTCAGCCTACAAAACAGGGTGCTATGCTGAGTACAAAATGTTATTATTTTATGAGAAATTTTGATCCGACATGTAGAAATTATACTGGACTCTCAACTTTATAATTCTATCAAAGATGCTATTTTTAACACTATCTCAGAATTCTTTTAAAAATAAAATATTGTGCCGACACCTGGGTGTCACCAGCTGGTGGCCATGGGCTTTAGCCCCAACCCCACCCCATATCCAGGCAAGCAACAGAGCCAGCCAACACCCGGGGGTTCCATGCCTGAGGCTGGGCCAGCCATGCTCCCACCTGCAACCAGATCTTAGAATGTACTTATTAACCATGTATGTTTCTTTGGGGTGTGTGACTTACCTGCTTATGTCCTTCACCAAATTTCTGCTTAGATTTTTCTAATTCATTTTTAAGAGTTCTTTTTGCAATAAGGATGTTAATCTTTGTGTGTTTTTTAAAAAAAAAGAAGAGTAGAATAATGTTTACCAGATGCTGGCAGGGGTGGGGGTGCAGGGGAGGATGGGGGATGAACTAAGGGGACAAAATTATGCAATCTACCCTAAGTGAATCATTGTGCAGTATATGCATTTATTGAAACAACACACTGTACTCCACAAAAATAAATATAAATAAAATTGAATTTAAAAAATAAAATATTTAGGATGGATGAAAACTGCAGCCCAGTGTCATATCTAAGCAAGCATAATCTTATCCTCTAATAATAAAGAATTTTATTTTCAGATACAGAATACAGTTGTTCCTTGGTATCCTTCAGGGATTGGTTCCAGGACCACCACTCCCCCTACCCCCACCAGTGGATACCAAAATCCACAGATGTTCAAGTACCTGAGATAAAATGATGTAGTATTTGCATATAACCAATGCACATCCTCCTGTACACTTTAAATCATCTCTAGATTACTTATAATATTGAATACAAAGTAAATGCTATACCGTAGTGTTTTTTTATTTGCATTATTTTTTATTGTTTGGGGGTTTTGTTCAAAAATGTTTTATCTGAGGTTGGTTGAACCCTAGGACATGATGAGCCGACTGTATATCTAAACACCATAATGTCAAGTTCTTGAAAGGATGAGGGACACTCCTCCTTCAGACTATCTGGATAAAGTCTGTATACCTGAAACAGAATGTTGCCAGCTGACAGGTGACTGTAAGTCACTGATGACTTGGAAATCAGGCATTTAATAATGATGACAGTAATATCAATAAATAAAAATATGTTCTAGAAAGAAAAAGGATGTTCTCTAGGGAATTTGTGGTAAATTATTCTTATACTGCCCAGAGAATAATCAGTCGGTCATGTTATAGGTCCTAGCACAATGCTCAGTAAATACTTGTTAAATAATCAAAAGTTTCATTCTAATGTTATTAGGATAGGATAAATGACCAAAGAGAAAATACATATCCAGAACTTTTGCAAGAAACCTAATTCCAAGGCCAATTCAGGAGCAATTTTCATTCGACACTATAATTTATGCCATTTGTACCTAAAGCTATATCTTTCAGGTCACATTAACTGATATTCATAATAATGATCATCAGTCTTCAAAAAGTTCATCTCTATTCAGCATATTCAATTTAAGAATACAGTGGGGACCCCCCACCCAACCATTAAAAAAAAATAGAGGGAAACATGTACTTATACAAAGAGGCAAAAAAAAAAAAAGGTTAAAAAATTTTTAATGAAGTAAAATAGGCTATTACCCAAAACTTCATTTCCTCCAGTGTTTCAAAGAGCCGGAGTTTTCCTGAACTGTTATTTAACTCTTTATATTGTCAGCGATTTTTCATGTGTTTAAATCTAGACTCCTAAAGTACTCCGTAAGCCTCTTATGGGCAAGTGTCAGAATGCTTTTGCTTCTTTGCACATAAGAGATGCTGAACACATATTTGTTGATTATGGTAAAGCAGGAGGCCGGCCAGTGGCTCACTCGGGTGAGTGTGGTTCTGATAACGCCAAGGCCACGGGTTCGGATCCCATATAGGGATGGCCAGTTAGCCCACTGGGTGAGCGTGGTGCTGACAACACCAAGTCAGGGGTTAGGATCCCCTTACTGGTCATCTTTTGAAAAAAAAAAAAAAAAAAAAAATCGGGTAAGTGTGGTTCTATGGTAAAGCAACTGTTTTTCCTTGTGGTACCTAACCAATGACTCGAGTGATAAATTAAACATGTCTTATTTGAACTACTCATACATTTCCATATTTTGAGGTAAACTTGAGAACCTTAGACAGTCAGGAGCTACAATCTAGTTCTGACCGATGTATCCTTATGACCTTAGGCAAGTTGCCTACTCTCTCTGGGCTTCAATTTCCTTTTCTGTAAAAGAAAGGGATTATTTTATCTGATGTTTACTGGCTCTAAAATTTTCATGATTGTACCTAACAGACAGAAACATAAGTCAAAGATATTTAGGGTTAAAAAAATCACAATAATAAAAGTAGTAATACTTTATATCGTATTTCATCACCTTAGTACAATCATATTATTCTCTTGGATCTCAAAATATTTTTATTAACATAACCATAATGACTTCCTTAAAGCCCTCTGGCAAGAGTAAATGAATGATGCATCTTATTTTATCATCCTCACTTTGCAAAAATTCTGAAGCTGGTAAACTGCAAGGTCACTAAGTCAGTCAGAGAAGACACGGAAAAAGTACCACTCAATGTCCAGCTAAATAAATATCACTCCTAGGATAGCAGACAGATCTCTTCCATGTCCGAAATGATGCTAATCCCCAGCACATGGTCAAAAGCCAAACCAAACACACATACACAAACTTCATTACACCTGGCCATTAACTAGGCCCGTTTGCTGTCAGTTTTTGGAGGAACGAGAAGGCCCCGTGTCTCTCTCCCGCATCCAGCCCTTCGCTGCTACTTTACCTGCTTGTACCTGGCATACAGGTACAAGAGCTGCTCCCTGCTGGCTACCTGTATCAGGCCTTGGAGGTGCGCGGCAGCCTTTTCAAACAGCTCTGTCAGGCTCCTGGACGCCTCGGTCTCGGGGCTCTGGGGGGATTCCACATCACTGGAGTCGTCCACTGAGCTCAGCTCTCCACCGCTGTCGCCTGTGGTGGCCCCCGCGGGCAGGAATGGTGAGGCCATGGTTCCTTGCTCGATCTGTCCCTGTGTCGGGTCTATCCTCAGAGCGCGTGTAAACGCCGGCTCGGCGGCCCGGCTGTCGGACCCAAGCTCACTCACCCCGCGCTCCCTCACGTAACTCTGCCTCCTTCCACTTCTACTCTCTGGGCATGCAGGGCAGGCTTTGCTCCCCTCGGCCGCTCTCCCCAGCTGACCCGATGTCCTCGGGCTTCCGCAGGGCCAACGGTGCGCCCGGGCCTGCACCGGGTCCCTTCAACGGCGCGGGGTTCTAGAGCAAGAGCAGCAGGGAGGGGCTAGAGAGACGTCTCAGCCGCGCGCCTAGCGACGGACCGGCAGGGGCGGGGCGGCGCAGCGCGAGCGAGGGACGGAGTGCGCGCCTGAGCGCGCGCCCGAGCACGCATCCGAGCACGCGTAATAACTTCGTATAGCATACATTATACGAAGTTATCGACCATCTCTCCTACAGGGGACTTGTGGGACCTTGCTGGAGGGACACTACTTGGAGAAACTGTCCTCCGTCGTTGGCGTGTCCGTTAATCGTTTCTTTGAAATTAGCAGTCACAAACTCCGGAACCCGATGTCGGGATAGGCATTGGGGGCGGGGGAAGGAGGGCGTCTACTTGGTAGTGCAGCGATATGAGCGGAGTCGCGGGAAACATGGAGCTGAGGCCGAAGGTTCCGTCTGCGCCAGCCAAACCCAGATTGTGTGCCCCAGGCGCCCCCAAACAGGCATGCGTGCGCATCTGTCGCTTGAGGGTTTGGCTCTGTCCTGACCAATGAATGAAAAATTGGGAGCTGGGGCTTTCGCCAGCCTACCGTGGGATTTATTACTCGAATCATTCCTTTGCGTCTTTCGCTTTTCACACGCGTGGAACCCCCATCTCTCAGGGCTCTGAGAATAGGCTGGGGTGGGGGTGAAGGGGGAGGGGTATGACCTACTTTAGCACAGTTCTCATTCCTAGCTCAGCCTTTGCCACTGTGCTTTGCAGACCCTGTGAAGTGACATTAAAATGTAGGACGTAGTTCTGCCCTAAAGGAACTTACAGAACTTTTTTTTTTTTTAAACTATAACATTATTATAATAGTTAACATTTACTGAGTGGGTATTATGTCCTAAGTGTTGTAACACACCACCACCACACTATATATTCATTTAGTATTCAAAACGGTGTGTCCATTTGGGGTTAGGCTTTAGACAAGTGAGGATGAGGCTACAATAAGAAAAAGCAAGAAGGTGAGAAAGCTTGGATCTGGAGTCAACAAACATTCCTCGAGTATCCAGAATGTTCCCCTGTTAGTCCCTGCTCTTAAGGCACTCACAATTCAGTCAAGATATCTGATAACCAAATTCTTGCAATTAAAAAATGATGATAACTTACTGAATCCCTTACTGTTTAAGGGACTTAATCCTTACTAAAAAAGGAAAATACTGTTATTTCCATTTTGCATGTAGTAAATCAGCATACAGTAGTTAAGTAACTTGCCCAAGGCTACGTAGCTAATAAGTGGAAGAGCAAGAAAAAAGTGGTTAAGTCAGAGGTTAGTCTGCATGTGGGATAATGGTAGGCGATGAACCTGAAAAGTAGATTGAAGGGAAGATGCATGGACTTTTATAGCTCTCTATTTCTAGAATTTTTATTAGAAATGGGAATTTGATATTATCAACTGCTTTTTTGTCAGCTCTGGAGATTATCCGTTTTTTCTTTAATCTTTGAAAGGAATTAATAGAGTTTCTATTTTAGTGAATTACATTAATAGAAATTTAATGAATTATATTAAATTAATGTGAAGTTAATATGAATTTTAATCTATTATATTAATAGACTTCCTAGTTTTGAATGATACTTCTGTTCCTGTAATAAACGTATTCTGGTCCTGCTTTTTTTTTACATTTATAGCTCAGTTTTTTCTTTAGTATCTTTACATCTCTACTTAAAGATGTCACTGACCTATAGTTTTCCTTTTTGTTCTTTCCTTTCTCAATTTTGTATCAAGATAATAGAAGCCTTGCAAAATGCATTTAGAAGTTTTTATCTTGGGCCGGCCCGGTGGCGCACTGCTACAGTGCGCCGCTTAGGAGCCCGGCGGCGCTCCCACCGAGGGTTCGGATCCCACATACAGACCGGTTCCCGCTCACTGGCTGAGCGAGGGGCGGGAGCAACACCGGGGGTTGCGATCCCGTTGCCGGTCCCGGTCCGGTACGGGCGCGACACTGAGGGTTGCGATCCGTTGCCGGACACGAAAAAAGACAAAAAGGAAAAAAAAAAGTTTTTATCTTTTTCTTTATTCTGGAAGAGTTTAAATAATGGGAAATAGAGCAAGGAGAATTCTCTTACAATGCTGGGAGTGTAAATTGGTACTGTAGAAAAATGTTTGGCCCTATGTGCTAAAGCTGAACATAAACATACAGCAATTCTATTCCTACCCAGCAGGAGTACATACATGGGCTTCCCCAAAAGAAACATTTACAAGAATGTTCATAGCAGCACTATTCCTAATTGCCCCAAACTGGAAACTCTCAAATTTCCATCAACAGTAGAATGAATAAACTGTGTGTTTAAATGATGGAATACTATGCAGCAGTGAGAATGAACTAATTACAATGACACAACAACGTGGATGAATCTCATAAACATGATGTTGAGTCTAGGAAGCCTGACCCAAAAAATTACTTGCTGTATGCTTCTGTTTATTTATAGCTCAATATCAGGCAAAACTAATCTATGGTGTTAGAAGTCAGGAAAGTAGGTAGCCTTGGGTTTGGTGACCTCAGGTGGCTTCTGGATGTTGGTGACGGTGTTTCTTAAGAGGAACACTGGTTACTTAGGTGTATTTACTTTATGAAAGTTCACTTAAAATTCAAGTACTTTTCCATATGTACATATTTGAATGAAAAATTTTAAAATCACATGTGAGAAAGAAAAAACAAGTGCCTGACATTCAGAAGCTGGCCTGGCAGTCATAGCTAGGCCATGTTATTCTCCTATTAGACAGAATTAATCTCACAAAATGCCAACCTCAGACATGGTCACTCTGAAACCATGATGAGACAAAGTAAAGTACTTCATTAAGTTTGTCTAAGTGCAAACAAAAACAAAGTCACTCTGCCAACATCCTTTCTCTTGGCCAAACTGACTGACTGCTACTTCATTACAAATCAAGTTATTCTCATGCTAGTCTCTTCTCCCTGTTAGATAAGATTAACTGAGATGCACAATTATAGAACTGCCACAGCTTTCTGACTGCATCCAATCTAGTGCATATCCCTGCTTCTTTAGACTGTTCCTCAAATCACCACCAAAGCCCAAATCCTTTAATAGTTTCTTTAACACCTTACTGAATCAGCCCATGGTTCCCCAAGGTTTATGTTCCTCTTCGCTGCAACCTGTAATAATTCCAACTTGATTTACTACAGGTGCATTCCTTGGGGGTCTCTGTCTTGAAGGGCATTGGCACTTGGTTTATTTCTTGAAGATTCTGTTAAAACCCCAAATTTATCAGGATCTGGATAGATCTTTTACAATTAGTGTTTCCATTCAGGCATTTCTTGGGAAAAGCATGTTTCTTTTAATCCCAAGAAAAATCACCCAAGATATCTGGAAGCCAGAAGAAAGTATTATATAATTCTCCTGATAGAATTAAAGCTCAACAATCAACACAGAGAGCTTACTGATTCAAAGGAATCCACTGACAAGTCGAAAACAAAGCAGGAAACACTAACTCATGGAGACTAAAGAGAACAAGAGAAAGGAGGAGGCAGAAGAGACATGGTCAAGAGCTAATCATTCTGGCTTGTAATGGTTGCCATGTTGTACCTGTGTGTTCATAGTCCTATCTGCTGCAAATGGTAAGTTATTCTTGCAAATAAAATAAACACTGTCGTCCCTTGTTATCCCCAGGAGATTTGTGCCAGGATACCCTCCCCCATCTTGGATACCAAAATCCTTGGATACTTAAGTCCCTGATATAAAGTGACATAGTATTTGCATATATCCTATGCACATCTTCCCATATACTTTAAATCATCTCTAGATTACTTATAATACCTAACCCAATGTAAATACTATGTAAGTAGTTGTTATACTGTATTGTTTAGGGAATAATAACAAGAAAAAAAGTCTGTTCATGTTCAGTGCAGATGCAGCCATTCTTTTTTTTTTTTTTTTCCAAATATTTTCCATTGCAGTTGGTTGAATCCAAGGTTGGTTGAATCCATGGAATTGAAGCCCAGGCATACGGAGGACCGACTGTGTTGATAAGGTGATATGCCTGGTCCACTTTAAGCAAAATTCTATGAGTGATGTTTTAAGAAATAACAAGTTTTGGAAGCAAAGTGAGTCCTTAAACTGGCAGTTTCTTTAAGTGATTCTGAGTAGTGCTGTTAACCCTGCTAGGAGATCTGAATGTTATTAGAATACTACCCAACAATGTTTGATAGCGTTTCTGGAAAATGTTCGTATTTGCTGTAAGGTACAGTTCTAAGTACTTTAGCAGAAGAAGTGCAAAGAGAAAAAGATGTGAATGTTGCAAAATACTTCCAACATGACATCCTGAACTGATCTAAAATTTTGAATTAACAAGTCATATCTGTTTCAATGCACAACCAAAGTCAGGGCAACCAGACAAAATATTTTCATTGTTGAAAAAGTAAAGGGATTGGATTTAGTGCAATTCAAGATTTGTGAAATATTGGCTTTTTTTACATTACCACCAAAATATTCATTAATTCATTAAAAATACATTAATTCATAATGTTTCAGACACAGTGCTGAATCCTAAGGATACTGCGATGAACAAAATTATTCTTCCCTCTCTCATTCTACACCAGCCACGTGGGCCTCTGTATTAGTCCATTTCTGATGCTTATAATGGAATACCTGAAACTGGGTAATTTATAAAGAAATGAAATTTATTTCTTACAGTTTTGGAGGCTGGGACGTCCACAGGCCAGGGTCACCTCTGGTGAGGGCTGTCTTCTTGGTGGGAACTCTCTACAAGGTCCCGTGATGACCAGGGTGTCACATGGAGAGAAGAGGCTGAGTAAGAGAACTAACTTCTTACTTGCTGTCTTTTAAAGCCATCAGAACCACGCCCATTACTCCATGAATGGATCAATTCATTCACAAGGGCACAATCCTCACAATCTAATCACCACTTAAAGGCCCCATATTTCAAATACCATAATTGGATTTCCCAACCTCTTAACACTGTTATGAGAAGGATCAAGTTTCCATTACATGAACTTTTGGGGGACATATTTAACCCATAGTAGTCTCCTTGTGGCTGTTGTACAAACCACACATAA